GTTAGCCAGAAGTCACATGAACCTCCCCAAAGTGCCAGCTACATCAACATTGGTAAACAGCAGCCGGTGATTCATGGGGCATTTTTTGGATTATGTATTCTTCACTTAAATGCCACTGGCTGGTGATTGTGTACCTCTGTTCAGGGTCACTGTCTGTTGTCTGAAAAAGACATTTTTTAGCAACTTTAATGGATGCTTTTTCTCAACAATAAGAGAGTTTATTGCCTCAGTAATTTTCTTTGAACAACTGTGTGAACATTGTGCCAGTGTTGTTGGGGTTTGTTTTTTTTGTTTTTTTTTTATTTTACTTGGTCCTTAAGTTCAGAACAGCCTGTTTTTACAGCTTATTTTATTTCCTGTGTTGAATTTGTTCTCGGCTTGCATTTTTGTGCTGGTTTAACTCCTGGATTTGTGTTAGTTTTTTCATAACCATTAAACGTTATACGTCTGCTGGGTATTTAAATTGACCCTCATTACAATTGGTATAAGCACATACATATAGGTTTCAGACAATTCCCATGACATTGGCAGCTTTCTGTCCATAAAGCGTTAGAAACTGATTTTAGTCTAGGTTGATGTAATCATAGCTTGGGCTCGAATGGACAGCACATAGTGGGTGTCTGCAGTGGAGCTGGTTGCGATCAGCTTTAGCAGATGTTGGTGCTGAGTGGGAAAAGTAATGGATTTCTCTGTAGTCCTTTGGCAAGGCTCCAGCAGCCGAGAACCATCTTTACCACCACTACCACTACTCCTCCCCCTGACGGCCAACCCTCTACCGCTGACTGTTATCTCTTTGCTCCAGGCTGCTCCACTGCCACTTTACACACCAGGATGGTAAAGAATGGACATACAGGAAAACACACATAAACACAGACAAGCACAGAGACAGATAATACTCAGGCCTGACCAATATAGACGCGCTAGTGTTGTACTGGAGATTTATCATATGGGCATACCGATAACCTTCCCCCAAAAATGTTTTAAGCTTAATGACTAATGTATTTTCTGTTCATTATGAGCGAGTAAACATTCATCAGCTTAAAGATCATTGGGGAAAACAATGGTCATAACTTTTCTTAGGATCATCATGTTTCTTTTTAACCAGGCGTATTCTGTCTCAAACTCATTTTTAAAAATTAACTCAGTACAATGATATAAGAGTCAAGTTGGGGCAATGTCTAAATAAGCATTTTCTTACATGCCACGCAGTCTATGTTCATTCACACTAGTGAAAATGGCATATAACATACATTTGTAGTTATTAGCTGACATTGCAGGGTGCAGTGCGACACTAAAAAAACCTGTGCCTGAACCCATAACAGCAGGGAAAAACTGCTGAAATAAAGCACTTGTAGTGTATTTTAATTAAAACTGTCCTGTTTCAGGTTTTGTTCTGCTTGAATTATCACTCATTTCTGACCCAAATATCTCACAGTAGCTGTCAGACTTTAGTGTGCACACACAGAGATGCATCATCATCTGATTACATCATGCCGTCCATCGTAAAAGCCAACAGAATGCTATACTGACAGAGATCATGTTTAACCCAAACACCCTCTTTTCCTGCTACATTTTGTGGCATGCAAGTGTGTCTCTTTCCCTCCAGGTTCTGGCACATTAAGCCCGTAGCAGAAACATTGGTCGTATTGAATCGGAAATATCGAGGGCAGTGTTAGCCTCGGGGGCAGCCAGGCAGGTTGTCAGAAGGAAGGTCAGTAGTTCACAAACCTTGACTGGCTGGGAAAATCTGGTTGGCATGCCCTTTAGCAAGTCATTTAACCCCTGATTGCCCAAAGGAAGATTTTTTTTATTTTTTTATTGTCTGACTGTAAAAGACAGTTGCAACATGAAGCTTCCAGCTACGGCTCTGCATAAAAGTGAAGCAAGTTATTGCAGAATAGAGCATTCTTGTTAACTTTTTCCTCATGAATAAATGTTAAAATCATAATATAGCCCCTGTACCTCGTGGGTTTCCACCCACATCATTGGAATAGAAGATTTGATGCTTTGAAATGTTTAACAGCCAGTAGTAGATGTCAGGGATGGTGATGCACTGCAATATTTTCTAGCCATTCTTTTTATGGACTAATCTTTGTTACAGACTGTCCTAAGGCTGTGACCTGATGTGCCCTCTCTAGAACTTAGCTGACACATTTCTACAGTAACAGTATTTTTCATTTTTATGCTCTTTATGATGCTCTCTTAAGGCTCTTTAATTTGATGACCAGATTCTCAGTTGGCTTACTTTTCTGCATTGTGCCTTTTTTGTCTTTATGAAACAGCACATTATAATGGATTGCATTTTTTTTTTTTTAATTGTCACATATTTTGAGGCTGGTGGTTCTTTTTGGTACATACTATAGAATGTAGTGTGCATCTTCAAAGGACACTGAAGACGACCCCAAACTGATGTAATTAAGAAGAACAGAAAAGAACTGACATCTTGTACGAATACTTTGTTTTCATTTCTAGATTTCTTGTGTGGTAGGGCGTCTCTGCTTTGGTACAAATTGTATGAAAACATCTCGCATTAGAAGCCACAGAGCTTTATCAACTTCAAATTGCCCAATTTATCTAAAGAGATGATGAATTTTTCATCAAACCTGAACAGCCGATATTTGTGCTTAAAACCTATAGAAATGTAGCACAGCTGTACTTTCAATGATTGCAGTTTCCTTAAAAGTTCTATATTCCTTTTATTCAGTTTTCCTAACTCCAGCCATAATAAATTGTTAAAGACTAGCCTTTCAATGGCCTCTTGGGGAATAAAGCATATAAACGCATTAGGCGTTCCCCAGGGTGCTAATCTGGGTCCACGGTAGATTCCTAATTATCAGTGTTTATCTTTTCATTGTCCAGAGCCTCTCTATCACTCGTGTCTGCTCAGTGAAGTAACAGACACACTCCAGGCTCTCCGCTTCCCATGTGAGAGCAGAGATTCTGCCTGACATCAGACATGGGAAGCGAGCTGCAGCAGCATGAAGGGTAAAAGGTCGAGACTTGACCACCCCAGGCAGATAAAGCAGCCTTTTCATGTGTGATCAGCCCACAGCCTAAAGACAAATCCCTCAGTTTGCTGCCTTTGAACTTCACTGCAACTGCAGTGAGTCCCCTACTCGCTCTGTGGCTGACAAAGAGAGAATGAATGCACACCCTATTATTTTATTAAAATATTTCGCCACCACTTCTTTACTTTCCTTCATTTGAAGCTGAATGAAAGGAATGAATGTGCAACATAAAGAAATGCCTGCTCTTTCCAGGAGTACACTAATTAGGTGATCCAGGTAGAATTCATTATCCTTTGCTAGTTTTCCTATTAAATTGGTGATACTGAAAATGGAGACGAGGAGGATTAACGAAAGCGGATGAGATGGATTTTTATAAAATAATTTTGTTTAAGGGGCTGGAACAAAATATGTGAAAGATCTTGCCAGTATAATACATTCAGTTCCTGCAGCTCACTGTAGATGCTTAGTGTAAAAAATCGGGCTCAGGCAGCCTCCAGTTCTCCATCAAGCCTTTTTACAAAGCAATTATGACATTCATAACACTCTTTCTTCAGCCCCCTTCCACTCTTTCCCATCAGTGCATAATTCATAGGCAACTCATCTCCAAAGCTAAGCCAATTGCATCCTCTCTAAACGAGCATGCAGTGCAGCTCCCACAGCAGCACAAAAGGAATGTCAGTCTCATGACAGACTATTTCACGTTCTTTGTTTCATAAGAATGGATGTAAATAGAGGGCGTTCTTCTGCTGCTGCTCTCCCAGGTAGAGGGAATGCAAACAATGCTGCGGACCTGATGTGTGTACTTGCTGCTTTCCAGATGATTTAGCTCTGTAATTCTGCCACTTGGCTGCCAGTGTGTGTGTGTGTGTGCGCACGTGCAGGCTGTGCTGTGTGTCCACACAATCTGTATGTATATATATATATATATAGAGCGCTATTTTTAAAGCTGAACCGTAAATAGTAGTAACAGGGCCTAAAACGGTCTTTGCCTCTGTTGCCATTCCTGGGCTGCTGCCGTCTCATTCATTCATGAGTTTGCATGAATTTGCAGAAACACTCTGGGCTTTCTTGCTCTGACTTGCCCTTTTAAAATATGGACTTCGTGATGTACCCATCCTCTGTTTTTGATCAGGCACCGTAGCGTATCCCAGACCACCCTTATTTCATGGTTAGTTAGACGTATGAGTGAATTAGACACACGTTTTTACACTCGTCATCTTTCGCTGTTCTGCATGGAATTAGGTCAGCATTCAGTTTAGGTAATAAGGCGTAATGATATTAATGGTCAGAAAATGACATTCGCCATCCTGTCTTTTAAATATGAAGTGTCACTGGAGATCTGCCCACTCATTTTGTTTGCAGATGTGTCGGGTATCTTTCGTGAGAAAATCTGTTTGAAAAGACTGAAAATTGCATTTTAACCACATTGATTATTTATATGGATATTTCATGGATTTAAAGGGAGAATAATTCCCTTCAGCATAGTGCAGATCGTCATATTGTCTTGTCACTACTGAGCTTCCTGTAGAGAAATGATCAATGCATAAGACGGTGTTTTGAAAATGGGAAATGAGCAGAATCCGCAGACTCTCTAATGTGCCTCTGATCGGGGATTCACATTCGGCGTGTCAGGCGGCCTGGGCCGGGCAGCCGGTTGCCGTGGGCGACCAGCAGATCAGTGATGTGGCGGTGATGCCTCTAATGAAGCTGACACAGCACAGCCTCCCGACTCGCGGGCCCCTGAGGGCCTCTTGCTCTGCATGTAGAGCCACAAACACTCCCACCCCCCTCACCTACTCTTCATTTCAGCCAAATGTGCTTCTGATTTGATAGTGCCTCAAATGGATTGCTGCATCATTTATTCTCTTGTATATGTTGGGTTTGTAGTAGCTAAATAAGGTCATAATATACAAACAAAGCCTCGCTCTCCTTGCCCTTTTCAGAATCTCTGTCTCTCTCAGCCTGATAAATGTCTCTTGTGTTGTTTTCCAGAAGCTGCCCAGCTGAGGTGAAGGGGAGGGCAGAAGATCCTAGTTCAGCTTGAGTGTGGATGACCTGCCCCCAGAAACAGGACCATGATCTGAAAAGCGTGGTGTACACAGAGCCCCGTTCTTCCTTTCTTCCTTCTCCCTCTTTTTTTGTTTTTGTTTTTTTCTATCTTGCTGGTGAAAGACTCCCTGCCTGGGTCCTTCAAACAGGGTCAGTGTGCACAGCGAGGGCAAACTGAAAGCGAATAGAGATTCAAAGAGGAGGAAAAGTAACAGCAGCCATCCGTGACCTCACATCTTGTCACTTTCCCCTGATCCTCCCACTGCAACACCAGAACCATGGGGAGGAAAAAGATCCAGATTCAGAGGATCACTGACGAACGCAACAAACAGGTTAGAACAAATGACCTGAACTGTCATGATATGGAAAGAAACTCCTGTTAAACTTTCCTGTTTCAGAAACCATTAGAGAAATTAAAGAACTAAAGTTTTCAACAAAGTTAATATAAGTAGCTGGATAATTATAAATAGCTGGATTTGTGGATCAGTCCTGTGGTATTTGAAAATGAATCCTGTATTGACCCTGTTTCATGTGCATGCATAAGGAAATCCCAAACGCCCTTGTAGTGAAGAATATGATAAATGTCATGCAGTGTTAGGTAATCAAGATTTAATATTGAGTTTTATTTAATTTTTTCAGGAGCTTAATTTCATAAAAACTGGCATAATTATTGTAAGGAACTTGTAATATAAAATGAACACATTAAATAGCTTGTTTGCAAATGTGGTCCATTGCTATAGACATTATGTTGTTCATATAAGAAATGAATTGCACAGCTTATACATTATCATGTACATTTATAATAAAGCTGGACCTTGCAGTTGTTAAAATGGGGTAAGTATCTCTGCACAGACAGCACTAGATGACTTTGATATGTCGCCGAGTGGGTTTCTTCTGCTGATAGCACCACTGTACCACAAGGCAGTTGTATTTGACCCATCTGGAGTGATCGTGGGACAGTTTGTGTCATTACTTTATCTTCTTCGGTCTCAGTTTCCACTTGCTTGAGAAACTTGCAGCAGAAAACACAGGCAGCACACAGTCCAGACATTGTTGTTAACTTTGTTAATGCACTCATTAGCTATGCTGTAGCTAAATGGTTACACTGAAGGCTAAAGACAAAATTAACAACCACACACATATTTGTGTAATTTCTGAGCTAAACTTCACGATCCAGTCGGGAGTGTTAAATGACCCATATATAGCCAGTAGATGCAGGCTTTCACTGAGCTGATTTCTCTGTATAGCTCTCATCTGTCCTGCTCAGATCTAAGAAAGAAATGATCATTTTCACTTTTCCAGCACTGAATTCCATTGTGGTGACAGAATACTTTAGCTCAGGCAATAAGAAATTCCCACAGGGATCCTTTCCGTTTTTCATATGTCCCATGTAGCATGAACAACATAGTTGCAGCTCTCTCAAGAGTGCCACAACAGAACAGTATAATAGCATTGTGTTTTATGAGGCTCATATGTGTCGGGGGGTTTCTCTGACACCTCCCCTTCCTACAGTGGAAAAAGGCAAGAAAAAAAAAGTATGATATTTCCCCAAAAAACAGACTCGGTCCCTCTGGTTACATCAGTGGCATTGTCAGAGAGGATGAAAGGGTAAATGATCCATCTAAAATGAGTCAACTGGTAAATGGGCTTCGCTCCATTGAGCAGATTGAGTAATGGATTTGACGTGCCCACCTTCAAAAACAGAGAGAGAAGAAAAACAAGATGGAGACAGGCGTAGGGAGAGAAACAAGGTGCCTGACTGAATAAGACCCGAGCAGTGTAAAAGCGAGGTGGCCGTAGGGTTTGGAAAATCATCCTCAGTTTTCTTCTCATCAATCTTAGCAGGTTGCATTTCGATAAAGAAGAGGAAGCAGTGCCTGCAGGGGGTCGGTGAAGTATGATGACTTGTTATTCATCAGTACACAATTGGACATAAAGGAGGAATGGGTTGTAGCTGTTTCTGCTCGAGCAGCCAGTGTTTGTGTCAGGTGTTGAACAGTTTATCAATAAGGTGATGAACTCTGTGGTAATACATGATCATAATGTCACAATCCCAAATGAATCATTGACTGCGATCAAGCGATTTCCCCGCAGAAAATGGTTTCTTAATCACTTTGTCAAACCAGTCAGCGTGATGACATTCTGATGCTCATATCGAACCGAAGCTGTAGTGAGCATTTACATTTCACCTTCTCCTCCCCCCCCCTTTTTTTTTTTCTTGTTTATCTGATGTTCTCAGTGAGAGCAGTTGACACAGTAAAGCAGGATTCAGTTGTTCTCTCAATGACATTTAGTGTTTGATATGGAACAGACTATGAAATAAGTGGTTTTTAGATGCTTTCTCTGTGTTGCTTCAGCTAATGAACAGTGCAGCTTCTGAAAGGAAATCAAATGAATTTTGGAGTACATGCAGCCCGTCACCCTCCTACATGTTGATTCAGAGATGCTGCCATAAGCTCTGCAAAATAAACAGCGTTCAGAGTGTGGGCCCCGGCTGGAAACATGACAACATCTCAAATACCACATTTCTTACAAAGACAAAGACGCATGAAAAAGAACAGGACTGGCATGTTGGAATGCTTTGATTTATTTGTTTATTTCTTTTTATGGAAGAGTGTTTGTCACATCAAAGATAACACAGAAAGAGTTGACTTTTCATTAACACTGTGACCCATTTTAGCAAGAAGATGTAAGAAGAAGAAAGATTTGCTGCCAGAAATCAAAGAATCCTGAATCGCTAATCAGATTTATGTTAAGCAACAGCTGTAGTGCATAGTGCAACGCAAGAATTACATTCATCATCGGGTTGTTTTGGAAATTAAATTTCAAGGAACAAGAAAACTCACTTAAAACTATTACTCCAGGGATGCTAGTATAAACTATCCGCTTAAGATTTATCTTTTTGTTTTGCTAACACTGACCCCAAAGTTAGAGATGATATTTTGATTCTGATTTTGCATCAGATTTTGGGGCAGTTGCTCTCCAGTACACTGCTCCTCCATTTGTTTTTCTTTGTTAAATCTAATGAGTATTGTAGTCGTGCATTTAGTGTCACTATTATTAGTCCATCATACCAAACTGATTGGAGAAAACGTGATTTCACAGACGTCTCTGTGATGTGTAGTTTTAAATATTAAGAAACCCTTGTGCCTCAACTCCCATTGCTAAGCATTTTCTGATCATTCAGATTAGAAACTGTTAAATAAAACATGCATGTGCAGTAAGCAAATGGGACTTTATCAGTTTATGGTTAATTCAGATGATCAGCTATTAGACACATCAAAGCACTTCTTTACATTTATGCAAATATTTATTGATTTTAACATTTAAACCAGCTCCTGATACAGATTTAGCATATTGTAATGAGTATTTCTGTATTGTCACTGAGTCTAAAAGTAAACTAATTTAAGCTTGTCGTGCCATTAATTTTTTGGGTTTTTTTTTAACATCGCTGTTGAATTAATTGTAGGCCTGTAGATCAATTAATCGGGGCAATTTCATGCAAAATGTTCCAGTGGGAATTCACATACCCATCTGTAGAAAAAAAAATAGATATGAGTCAGGTGTAAACTAATCCTCAGCGGCACCCCCAGCCAACGTTACAGCTTTGATGCATACATTTATAATTCAGCTAAAATCTGAACACGAACTTTTCCAAGCTAAAGATTGTTCTACAAAGTTGAGCATTTGCTTTTTGCTTCCATCTAGCAAAACATACAATTCTAAGCCATGTTTCTGAATGTGCATGATCTTTTACACATGAAAAAATCTCATGTGCAGTACTTTTTTATGAGCCTTGAAGCAGCTTTCAATAAATGTTTTAAAATATCTGTGAATGGAAAAAGGTAATTGTGCAGAATTTTTTCTTTCACTGCTAAATAAGTTGAATTTCAGCATTTCAGCTGATCTAGATTTTTTCCAAGTGTAGCCCATTGTTGAAGAATAATCAGTCTCCTAACTGAAGTAGTTGTAGTTATAGCAAATTTACTGAGAGTCCAGAGGATTAACATTTTAGAACAGATAACTTTTAGTAGTTGTTGGAATATAGTCATGCATAAAGAAGTATTTAAAAGTCTAACGATTTATGAAGCATTAAGCATCAATCTGTTGTGTGGTGTCCGCAGCGATGTGGACACTGTATCGGCCTGCCCTCTTGAAGTGAGAAGTGATTGTGAAAGCAAAGCTGTTGATCTCCATTCCTACCCACACCTGTGGCCACAAGCTGTGGGTAGTGACCGAAAAAATGAGATACAAGTAGTGGAAATGAGCTTCCTCGGAAGGGTGTCTGGGCAGAGCTGCTGCTCCTCCATATTAAAAGGAGCCAGATGAGGTGGTTTGGGCATCGGACTAGGAAGCCTCTTAAGGCATCTGTGAGGTGGGATTTTTTTTGAGCATGTCCTTCTGGCCGGAGACCCCAGGGTATACCCAAGACATGCTTGGGTAGCTTGGAACACTTAGTGCTCCCCTCAAAAAGAGCTAGAAGAGGCTGCAAGAGAAAGAAGCTAACTGCAAGTTGACCCGAGCACTATCAAGAGCAATCTCGATACCATTTGAATTATTCTCCATACAGTTTCTTATCTTGCATATAAATGGATCCAATGCCACTCTCTTAGACTGCAATTTGTAGCTCTCATCCTGTTCTGTAGTTCATCGTGAACTGTAGTCCAACGTGCAGAAAAACCCCTGTGCTGAGCTAACCCATGTTGGAAAGCAGATCAAGATTCAATTTTGCACATGCACTGTAACTCTAAACTTCTCTAGACATTATTCAACAGAATAGCACATGAGAAAACAAGTCTCTAACACACTAATATTAGACACTTGATGTTTTTTTTTTTTTGTTTGTTTGTTTTTTTGTTTTTTACCTGTCAGCTATTGCACCGATTTGCACCGATGGCACACATAGTTGTCTGGTGAATTCATAGCTAGGAGAGGGATACTGTGTGTACTGTATCCTGCACACTCAACCCAGGCGGCGTTCTGGCCTAAATCAGTATTTCCAGTAGTAAAAACTCTCTCTGAAGTGGACTATCTCCTGCGGTGTGCTGTGGAAAAGCAGAGCTTTGACCAATGGTCCAGCATCATTCTCCCAACATTTTCCAGAATTCATATGTGAAAAAAATGAAGGACAATACAGTGTAGCGATACCATAGGACAAGAGAGACTCTGGAGAAGCAGCTGATTATTTTGCTTGTTTGTTTGTAGCACAGTTCTTGGCAATTAAAATATTACTAGAGGAGCACCTTAATTAAAAGTGAAGAGGATATTGTAATGGCAATTTACAGTTCAATTCTGTCTCTCTTTTACACACAACAAATGCAATTCCAGTAGATACAGTTTTATTTACAATAACGTTTGAATCGCTTAACATTTTAAAATAAAAATAGCATATCATGGTTCTGTAGATCCTTGGAAACTCATACCTGTACTGATTAGTATAGTGAGACCCAGTGTATTTATTTATTTATTAATTAATTTTTTCCTCAACTGTTCAAACTGTATGTGTGAGCGAGACTGTAAGCTAGCAAATGAAAGAGAGGGTTTTGGCTACAGGAAACAGCAAGAGGAGGTTGTGGTTGTCAGTGGTGGTTTCCTCATCCATCTGCCACACAACCACAACCTCGCCAAGACACATGCACGCACGCACACGCACTCAAATGAAACCACTCGCCCCCTTTCTTTCTTACTCTTCTCACTGAGGATGTCTTATTCTTCAGTTGCCATTGGTTACCTGGCAATTCAGCTCTTAATGTCAATTACCTCCAGCTTGTTTATCCTTTGTGGTAAACAGCAAGATTGAAGCTCAGACCAAAAGTCACTACCCCACTGCTTACTTTTTTCTAAAAAAAGAAAGACGGACAGAGGTTTTGTTTGGGATGTGGGACTGATTTTGTTTGCTTTAAGCACTGGTGGATGACCTTATAATTTTTTTAGGGAGCAGTTGTTGTTTGCAGTGGCTTCTCTCTACATCACCAGTCTTGTCATCCCGCACAACTGTAATTTCCTCCCTTACCAACATCGCCACATAATTTATCTGCTCATTCTGTGTGTGTGTCTGTGTGTGTGAGACAGAGAGAGAGAAAGAGAGGAAGAGGAGTGGAGAGATATGTAGATAGGCAGAGAGATAAAGATGGGGAGGGGGTGTGGGGGGTGAGATGATGGTAGCAGTGTGTGATGAGGTGGGAAATGGGGGGCGGAGGGGAGGAGAGGAGTCGGTTGCCCATGGATACGACCCCGATATAATTTGATTTGTGGCAGCAGGAAGCAATGAGTGAGCGAGTGCGAAGGGAGGGAGGAAGGGAGGATGTGGAAAAAGCAAGAGAGAGAGAAGAGAGGAAGAGAAAATGAGGGCGAGAAAATAAGAGAGGAGAAGGAGGGATGAGGGAGGCTTAAACATGTCGGGTGCAGAAAGGAGCAAGAGATGGAAGAGATGAAGTGATTGTAGGAGAGAACGATGCACAGATTGAAGGTCTCACTTGCTGCTTTTCCTGCTTTCATCCTCAGTGTCTCTATCTTATCTCTACCACTCTATTTGTTCTCTCTTTCTTTCTGTATTCAATTCATTTCAATTATAGTTTCAGTTCAGAACTCAGCTGCCAGCGGAGCAGCCTTCTGCCACAGAAATGTGGCCTCTGTCGATGCAGGTAAACCCTAGAGGCAGTATCAGAATATCATTAATACATTTATTTGGCGACAGATATATTTTAATGCATTGTAATTACCATAAATGGACAAAAAAAGCTCAACACTCTCACTCTTAAACATAAAACCAGAAGATGGTTATTCCATTAGGGCTGCAGTTTTGCTCTTAAAAGCCTAGTAAATGCGATTAAATTTTGATGAAGACTTTTTTAAAGGTCTCGAATATCTGTAAAAAATTGCAGTGAAATCAGTGCAACGTTTGTAAAAACACTTCACTTAATATTAAAAATGTCAGAAATATTCTTGATTTTTTTTTTCCCAATTTAAAAGCAAAAAAAAGTAAACCAATCAGTCCATTGCTGAAATTAATGTAAAATGGCTAAAAATCTTCAAGGTCAAACATGTGACTCCCTCTCCCTCAGTAAACGTCACCAATCTCCAGATGTACAGAACAAAAAGCTTTCTTAGAATAAGAATCAAAGATTTAAAGGGACTTTAGGACTTAAGGTTACATAAGAAAGTGCAGTAAACTACAGGAAACTTGTAAGCATGCTGCACTTCAGGTCACAGCCACAATCATTGATGTCACAGCAGGTTTTTGGCTTGCACGTCTGATGGAAAATGTGTTGATGTCATTCGTGGGTGTGGCCTGAAGTGCAGCATGCTTGAAATCTTTCTGCCTCTTCAACACCATCTGTGTACACATTGACTTTTATTTCCATTTCTCCCATATCAAATGCTCGATATTGTAGCAGTACCTGAAGCCTTTTCTTCTTTTTCTTCTGCTAATCTTCTTCTCCTTGCATGTGTTTGTGTTTGTGCAATCCTGTGTGTTTAATCCAAACAAAGCCAAATCTCTCTAGATTGTAAATACCAGTTGGTTATAGCAGGGAAGCGCTTCTAAAGCCAACCGGCAGACAACAAGGGACCCTGTGCTTTAGCAACACTCCCAGTTCTGTTCAGCTTGTTCACAACTGAGCGGGCTTGTACGTGTGTGTGTGTGTGTGTGTGTGTGCGCGCATAAGGGAAAGGGAGAAATAACGTGTGAGAGAAGGAAAGTGCAGAAAAGAGAGCGGGAGAGAGTGTGTGACATAGAAAGAGAGCATGGAAAAGAGCATATCATAGTGTGACAGTGACAGAGAGCGAGTGTGACGGGAGAGAAAGGAGTGTATGGACTGAAGTGAAAGTCTGTGCACAAAATACAATCTGAGTACTTGAAAGAGCATGTTTAGACACTCTGTCTAGAAGTCTTTTTTTTTCCTAAAAATGTCTCTATCTTGTATGTTTAATACACAGTGCTTCCATGCAGTCAGTCTTGCTTTGTCTCAGATACCCAAACCATACGCTTCAGAGCACGATTTGTGCCGTGATTAGAGTCTGGAAGTGCAAAAAGCTCAAATTACACTTTCAGTTTAACTGAGAATAAGCTGGTTTGAATGGCTCTGGTCCAAACTGATATTAAGTCAGGTCTTGAGGGGGAAAAGCTCAACATTTGCGTAAATGTGCTTTTTTACTTTCCTGCCAAGATTGAGAGTCACAGTGAGGTCAGATAATTTACTGTAAAGCTGCAAGTTGTCAGTTTTACTCTTTGGTTTTTCATCAGATAAAACAGGATATAACATGACAATTAGAGAGCTTTAGGGGAGCTTTGACAGATGCTAGCTGTCGCTTATTCTACAGTCATATTTAGTATCAGTTTTACTCTCAGCATTTGACAGATTTCCCAGTGTGTTCCTTTCAGTTTCATCATGCCTTGTGTCTTATTTGCAGATTATAGGTTTTTTAATTCTGGTGAACAGATTTTTTATTTATATCTATATGTTTTTATTCAAACACATTCAAAATGTGTTGTATTTCAAGCTGAAATAACAAAATTCCTTTCACTTGCTTCATTTCTTTTATTTATTATTTGTAAAAAAAAAAAAAATGCTGAGTAGAACTTGTGTGCACCGCCTGCATCCTTTTCAAAATACTGGCTTTAGTTTAGGTTTAGTATCTAGTTTGTCTTAGCGTTGGTATGCGATTTGGGTTGAATGAAAGAAATATGGTTATCAGCATGTATTTTTCTTTCTTTTTTTCTGTAAATGGTTGCGACCTGTACATTTTGACATTTTAATTTCGTAAGTGAACATTACTCTAAACAGACCCTGAAGAAAATTTTCCTCTCGTGAAAATTGAAATAGATCTTTCACTAAAAATCTATAATCTGTGGCTTGTTGCCAGATCCACACTCTAGCTCCGTGGCCCACATCATCATTCAGGACCAAGAGGCTCCATGAAAACCTTCTTCCCTTAGAACAAGAAATAAAATGTCAGAATATGTAGATAATGCCCTTGTTTTCATTTCAGTTTAACTTCATTAATAGAGTGTCGTTTATAATGTTATAAAATTACAATTGTTTTAGGGAACTATGAATAATTTTTGATAAAAGCTTTACTAAGATTGTGTTAGAGCTCTCTCAGCTCAGTTTTCGTTTTTGTCATCAGGTGACGTTCACCAAGAGGAAGTTTGGTTTGATGAAGAAGGCCTACGAGCTGAGCGTCCTGTGCGACTGCGAGATCGCTCTCATCATTTTTAACCACTCCAACAAGCTGTTCCAGTATGCCAGCACTGACATGGACAAGGTCTTGCTGAAGTACACCGAGTACAACGAGCCACACGAGAGCCGGACTAACGCTGACATTATCGAGGTAAAGCGTGGAGACGGGAGGGAGGGCAGTGGGTCAAACAGCAGGAAACAACTGCGTCTTTACCACACCTCAAAATCTTTTTAACATCCTTAAAAGGTCCACTTTTCCCTCTTCTGATGTTGGTCCATACATTTTCATTCATAGGTGCTTACTTTATTATGCATGAATCTCAGAAAGTTATTCATTGTTCATGTATCCTCCATCTACATGGTTCTACCGTTGGAACAATAAAGATTAATTCTTGACTAAACCTATTTTATCCTCTACAGAGTCAGATTGTTACCTTTTTTAAGGTCCATTCAATGTATTTTTTTTCCATTTGATTACCTTTATTTTAATTAATTAATACATTTATTTATTTTAGCAGATGCTAGGCTTAAAGTAATCTTGACCTAGATACACTTCCTGAACAAACTCTGTTGCCTTCTGTTGCAATAAGGCTTTGAGTATCATAGTTTATTGTACATCAAGTCATTAAAAGGGGAAGCTGGACATTTTCAGATGTGTATTGATTAACTTTCTTCCCAAGAATAAGATTAGAGATTGATATCACTGTCATGCCTGTTTACTTGTAGGCAGGTTAGAGGCAGAGGGTGATTAAGGTAGCTTAGCTTAAAAAAAAATCTGCTGATGTGATATATTACATCTTGTTTAATCTATAAAGAAGCCAAAGTCACACTAACCTTCAGTGTTTGTAGCAATCTAACCTTCTTTTAAATTGTTATGCATTATAAATTAGGCTTTAAGAAACTGAAGTGGTTAAACACTGCATTTTTAGAGGTGTCATTACATTTTTTAAAAAACTTTTTATAACCCACTGTTCTTTCCTTAAATCCCTTGTTACTGAAAAGTAACCATATATTTTAGTATTTCTTTACTATTGCCCAGTTCAGAATTGTGGAGTCCAGTCAGTCCCAGTGCTGTTTATGGTTGGATTCTGGCTCGGTGCCTTTGAGCTTAATGGGAGTAGAGAGATAGGAACAGCTGGGCTTCCCCATCTTATCCCCCGCCCCCCTTAACACTCTGGCTTTGGTCGTATTGTTACCTGGAGACCTCTCTGACAACAACAACAAAACACCAACAAGCCAAAGGACAACGCCTAGAACCAGTTGGAAACCACTTCAGCATAAAATGCCCACCAGTTAGAGGAAGAAACTTCTGAGAAAAATAATCTTTGTTCATTTACATATTTACTAGAAGAGAGGTCAACGGGTTAGGTCAGCAGAGAAAGTGTGAGGGCAGTCCGTCAGTTCCATTTTTATGTTTTTGTAATAGGAATCCATTTGCTTCCTAACGTCTTTCCTCCCTGTGGGAAAAGGCTTCGCTGGAGCTTGTCAGGCGAACATGGAACATATTCACATGCCTTGCTGACCCTTTTATACATAAGGACCCTCTTATGAATTCAACACGAGATGGTTAGGTATGATTCAGCGAGCCGTGTGCACTGCAGTACAGCACTTACGCTTCATATGGAGCGTTGACTTAAAGCTGGATCTCGCCTGGCTTTGAGGTTTTTTTTCTCACTGAATATTGCTGCAGGAGTTCACGATCAGTCAACCACAAACATTGTCAACATGCAGTCACCGCCATGGCTTTACTGTCATGTTGAATGCTCGGGCTAAATCGTATTTCAAACAACACACAGCAAAACAGCAAGGTTTGAAAAAATGAGATGGCTAGCTCATGAATGGATTTAGGCCATTATTAGTTGGGCACTAGCATTACCTGATCTGTGTCAGCAGCAATTTCCCAATCTGAATTTTTTGTCAAATTGCCCTTATGATTTTGGAATAAAACCTTGTGTTGGCAATGGCCTGAGAACAACAACATAATAGAGTGGGAGTGATTCCCTCTTTTATCAGCTGCTTCTAAATTGCAGAACGTAGTCCTATAAAATTGAGATTGATGCTACAGCAATAAATATTATTCGAACCTTTTGTTCTCCACTAGTTTTTGATTCACTACATTTATGAAGTAAGCGATACCAACCTGTGTCCCTGGAGTGATGAACTTTGACAGCAAATGATGAGTTTTATTTCCCTTTTTCAGGCTATTTCAAATACGTTATTGGAAGAAACCCACAGGCTGCAAACATTGTTTGATTCGATTTATGAAGCGCTCAGAAGCTCATCTGACCTCTAACTGCTGCTTTAAGGCGTAATTCTTTTTCAAGTTCTCTCAAACTGTCCACAAACACCTAAATCAATGGCTAGCTACAGTTATGTGCTAAAGGTGTTTTTGAATGGAGAGCGCTATTTTTCCATTGTAGGAACCTACCTGAAGGACTCATTGATTGAATTCAGGTCCTGGATCACAAAAGTCCCAGCTCTGGGTTTGCATCTGAGTATTCTCTGGCTGTGAGATTAAATCCTCTTTCCAACAGTTTTCTTGAGGAATTTCTGATTATACAAAGATTTTCAGACCAGAACTGTTGGGAAACCATTTTCCTTGAATACAAGAGAGGGTCATACTTGAAGCTTGAATTACTTCATATATAGCAGAAAGTAAATTCCACATTCAACTAGATCTGATTTCCATCTGTTTTTCTGTTGATGGGATCATTTGGTTCTCATCAGAAATGGCCAAAGTAGCACTCTAAAATCACACATGGACGAAAAGGAATTTGCCAGCCTAGCTACATTAAGCCTAAAGAAAATGCAATGAATAACAGATTTATCTAATTTATTTCACAAAGGGGACTTTGTCTGAACATACTCCTAAACTTCCTGAGTTTTGGGATTTGTCATTATTGGTTATTATTTGGTTGTGTAGAGGTATGAAATCTTTGGGGCCTGAGCCGAATGCTCCTAAGGGGAATTTCATCCAATAAGGGCTTGCATTCAGTAATTGCTGAAATCTCAGTGAAAGTGTTGGTGAAGCAGTTTTGTGTTTGAGTGGGCTGAAGGTAAGACTGAGAGTTTGAGGCCATAATTTTCCCTTCACCTTTCTGTCTGTCAGTTTCTCTCTTCCTTCTACCCTTCCTGGCTTCGCTTCCTCCTAATCTCCTGATTCACTCGGTCACGACAGTTTTTCCCTTCTTTCTTGTCCTTCTCTTTCTGTCTGTCTCAGAGTGTCAGCAGTAAAGCCTTTCTGTAGGCTGTATCTTCAGCTGCAGATGGCTCTTAAGTGTGTGTGTGTGTGTGTGTGTGTGTGTGTGTGTGTGTGTGTGTGTGTGTGTGTGTGTGTGTGTGTGTGT